ATTGCAAAATTTATGTGATTTATATAAAAACTTAGTTTGAACATTTGGAACATTTGAGAAGGGCTGCTACGTGTTTAAAAATTTACATTCAAATTATTCAATAAGTTCGACGACATATTAAAGGTGTGGGTTTGAAAACTTTTTATTTCTGACCTTTATTTAGGAGGGTTGCAACGTGTTTGAACAATCAAATTCAAATTAGTTCATCTGCTATTGAAACGCACGTGTACCGCAATGTCAGGCGAAAGAGATTTAAAAAGACTTTAGTTTGAAAAGGACTTCCACCTGTTTGAAAAGACGAATTTAGTTAACGTTTACACAAGTTTTATGAAATATTTAGATATGGGTGTGAATCGAAAGAAATTTTATGAAAGCTTTAATTTGAAAATATCTTTAATTGGCTAGCCACCTTTTCCCAAAAAAAAAAACATATCAATCTAAAAGTATATGTATGTGTATTATACGAGAAGGTATTTTGTGTGTTAGTCATTCGATTTTCAGCGTTCTTTTGAATTTCAAAAATTAGAGGTCAACTTAAAGACCATAACCTGTAGATGTGCGATAAAGTTTTATTGTTTTACTTAAAATCTTTTTTATCGGTAAATGGTGATTTGAAATTTGACGAAATCCAAAATCTACCNTATGTGTATTATACGAGAAGGTATTTTGTGTGTTAGTCATTCGATTTTCAGCGTTCTTTTGAANTATTCATGTAAAAAAAGATTAATATCGATGAAGAAAACGTGATTGATTTTTAAAGTTTAAAATGTATTAAGAATTTTGAATCATAAATACTCTTTTGATATTATTATACTACGTAAATATATGTAGGCATATTTTTGAAAAATTGTCCTTCATTTTGAATCCATATTTATGGTCGTCGTACCTATGCGAGACCTCTCTTCACTAAAAAGCGGCTGCACGGATTTGGATGAAATATGGCACTGTGATCGCTTTATGACTAATATTTGGAATATTTTTTAGGTTGATTATATATTTAGGTTTTAACACCATGCGGGTTCACTTGTTATACCCGAGCGCACTTGTGCAGAAGGGTATTATAACTTTGTTCACATAACGGTCGTTTGTAACAGGCAAAACGAATCGAGATAGATATAGAGAAATGTAATGAACAGGATGAAAAGAGAAATCGATTAAGCGGTGACTGTCTGTCCGACGAACGACTGTCTGTTAACGAAACTTGGTACGTGTACTTCCTTCGGGCGTAGGACG